ATACTGAAGTGCAGATAATTGCCACTATTTGCAACAAGTAGTATACTTGATAGTAGAAATCCTGCTATTTTAACATAGTGTAAATAGGTATTTGCACTTAGTGTAAATAGCATATTGCTAAAAAATACTGCTATTTTCACTTAGTGTAAATAGAATCTATTGCTAATACGAGATTTGAAAAGAGAGAAAAAAAAAGTTAGGCAAAAGGCGGGATCGAACGAACCCGGGTCGATCGCGTCAAAAAGCCAAGGGCACGCACTTATCCATCTGCACCACTGGAGGTCGTCGGAGAGAAGAGAGCGAGAATGCGCGGCTGATGTTATTGCCTGTGCCGCTGCTAACAAAACGGATCGGCTCGGAATCAGAAAGAAGTGAGACTGACCGACCGATCACCGATCCGGGCCGATCATGAGGAAAATCGGCCGATTCCGATCCCTGGCCGATCGATCGGTGCATCTCTAAAAAAGATTTAATTAAACAAAATTTCATTAAATAACTAGCCATAGGATATCTATGCAGTCACATCTGAAAAGTATCATGTTGAAGCTACACTACCAGTCAAAAGTTTGGAATAATTGTGATTTTTAAATGTTTTAAATAGAAGTCTCTCTCTAATGTTCCCCAAGGATGCATTTAATTAAAGAAAAATGCAGTAAAAGCTGTAATATTGACAAACAGTCGATTTCTAATTTAGCATACTTTACAATGTAATTTATTCCTGTGATATTAAAGCTGAATTTTCAGCATCATTACTAATATAGAAATAGAAAAAAGTTATTTTAAATTGTAAGAACATTTCACAATATTACTGTATTTTTGATCCTGGTGAGCGCGTAAGAGACTACTTCCAAAAACATAAAAAAACGATTCTTCCAAACATCATCTAAACGTTGACTGGATGTTGTTCTAGCGTTGCGTGGGAATGTGTCAGTGCTCCAGGAATGAAGGATCTGACTCTAGTGGTGTTCTCTTCAGGGTCGGCGTGCTGGAGGATGATTTCACCTGTCTGGGAATCATGTGTGCCATAATCTTCTTTCCTCTGGGAATTCTCTTCTGCCTGATCCTGCGTCAGAGGAGATGTCCAAACTGTGGAGCCACTTTCGGCTAGAGGGACCAAAACCCCGTTCACATCTTTTATAATCAGTTTTTAGCATCAGCATAGTTTATTCCTAATCAACCGCACATCAATGCCAAACGTCGCTTGCGTTTAACTACGATAAATGACAGATCACAAGAGCAACCAGCCACAAACTCTTTGATTACTATAAGAAGGTGCATGTGACGGGCTGGCCATGTTTTTAGTTTTTACATGCCTCGCAAGCACTATTTGCCATTTTATTTTTGTTCTTTATATAAAATCTTAAAGCCAGTCTCCAGTCGTCTAATCACTAGTGCCTTTATGATGCCAGAGAAAGCATAAAGCCGGGACTCACTGAGGGGAAATCCCACACGACTCTGGACAAACGCCGACTCACTTTGAGTAACATTGTGTGTTGTGTAAATGAATCATTTGATTCGCTCCCCTCATGTATTTTCACTTCCGTCACACGTTTGCTCTCGTGTCTAGAAATAAGCATCACTGTCGTTTCTTTTTTGTTGACCATAATATGCTCCCTAATCAGTCACATCTTAGTTAAGATCAAAAAGCATGATTTTAAGCTTGTTTTAAAAACACACTGTTATATTTGTATATTTTGGATTTATGAATCAGTTCTAGACCACGTTCTTTCTTGATGGGGTTTGTTATATTGGGGTCCATGTTTTCGTCGATTAATGTTATATGTGCTGGGTTTTCTGAAAGCATCTTAGAGTGAATATGCAGTTATGTTTCACTCGCTGAACCTCAGCCATCTCCAGGTTATTAAACTAAAAACCTGCAATAAACAAGGGAAGTTGGCATCTAGACAATGTAATATGTCACCCTAGGACAGGGGTAGGCAAGTTCGGTCCTAGAGAGCCGCAGTCCTGCAGAGTTCAGCTCCAACCCTAATCAAACACACCTGAACAAGCTAATCAATGTCTTCAGGATTACTAAGGCTATAGGCAGGTGAGTTTTTTTTTTCAGGCTGAACTCTGCAGGACTGCGGCTCTCTAGGACCAAACTTGCCTGCCCCTGCCCTAGGACATGTAGTTACTCTTTGACAATGGAATTGTTTTTCTTCCAGTGACCGACAATCAGTCTCGGACGCGTCTGGTGCGATTTCATTCATTATGTGCTCATACCATACACTAGACACGCTGTTAGGATCAGTTAGAACTTTTCTACATTAAGAGAGATTGTAAATAAATTCTACAAGTGTTGCTTTTTGTGTTGGTTGCTTATATTGGTCGTTCTAGAAACGTCAGTGCATTAGAACATTTTTAACTTCATCAAACTTATCTATGATGCATTTATTTTCATTTTTCACCTGATCAAAAGTGACAGTAAACACTTATGTTACAAAAGATTTCTATTTCAAATAAACTGTTCTTCATTCATATTTTACTGAACATGTTTGTAATTATTCAAGTAGAGCATGTATTCATAACAAATTAGTTCCTTAAAAGAAACCTGTAAAATCACCATTTATGTAGCCTAATGAATTTTCAAGCATATATTCTTGTATAAATTATAACTGGTGGAATTTTGTAACCTTTAAAATCTAAATTTAACATTTCACAAGACATTAACTGATGAACTGGAGTGGTGTGGATTATTGTGATGTTTTTATCAGCTGTTTGGACTCTCATTCTGACGGCACCCATTCACTGCAGAGGATCCATTGGTGAACAAGTGATGTAATGCTGAACTTCTCCAAATCTGTTCTGATGAAGAAACAAACGCATCTACAGCTTGGATACGGAGTAAATGTTCATTTTTGAGTGAACAGTTCCTCCAGGAACCATTAGAAAACAAGGCCCTATGATTTCCAAGACGCAGAATAAAGTCATCAAAATGGAATTTACTGTATAACGCAGACTGTCACGGAATTTGCCAAATTTTGGATGAATAAATCAAAAGTAGTTCAGTACACTTAAATCAAAATGTGATATGGACTAATGTCTGTGAATATTAAACCACATAATACAGTTTTTTTTTTAAATAAAATCAATTATTTAGAGATGTTTTTGATTATGAACATTTAATGAAACCATTCAAATGGAATCCAGAAAATTAATGCAAAACAGTTTTTTAAATTAAAAAGAAAAAAAAAAAACATTTCATAGTGCCTTAATTTAATTTCTGTGAAAATTGTGTAAGTTTCATGATTTCAATTAATTAGACATGCTTTTTGATTAATACAATTTCATTTAAAAATTAAAATGGAAAAACCGGAATCCTGAAAAATTTAAATGCAAAAAAATGGAAAACAATAAAACTGAATTAGGGAAAAAAAATACAAAATATTTAATAGGGCCCCTAAACCCCCCCCAGGTCTACATGTACAAAAGAGTTTCGAAATGATTCCAGAAAGAATTAATGATTTACATAAGAAACATGAATGAGTAAGAATAACTTTATTCATACTCATTCACAATATTTCTAACGTAAATCATTCTTTCTTCTGGAGTTGCAACATTACTCTAATATTTTAACAAAAGCACACATTTAGAAACAAAATATTTTTATTTTCATACAGCAGGGATCTACAAGATCTCAGGCTAACATCAACAGAAAAGTGCATTGATACGATCAAAGCCAAATGAATAGTTTCCCCCAAGCAGAAGATAAATAAATCACTATCCACTGACCGACAATGGATCGTTATTCAGTGTTAAGACTACGCTGATAAAAGCAAAGTCTCGTTCTAAAAGCATTGATGATCTAAAAGGCAAAATGAGCTAAAAGCGCTTCTGTAGATGACGGTGTTGCCTGCACACTGGACGAGGTCTCGACTGTGCTCAAGGCCAACTGAGCGAGTTAGCCAGCTAACTCTGGTAAACGTGCTAACATGAACATGGCTCTGCTTTCCAGTCTCTGAACGTCACTGGGATCATAATGCTTTAATCACTTCACGCTCCGCTCCTCCACTAGTTACCAGCTTGAGTGTTGTGAGGCTTAGAGACCAGTTCAGACAGCATCTACAGTAAGTCGAATTTTTCATCAGTTTCGGTTCACATCACTATCATCAGGACTTTTCTGCTAACGCAGGTTCCCATCTAGTGTATATGTTAGAAAATATCTTGACAATGATTTAAAAAACTAAAGATCACACCCATCTTCTCTCATATATTTACAAAATGATACTCTGAAAGTTAAGCATCTGACTAAGGATCATTACAACTAAATGCATATACATCGATTCCCTCTCTCTCTCTCTCTCTCTATATATATATATATATGTATGTCTGTGTGTGTGTATGTATACACAGAGAGAGAGAGGTTTAAAGGGGACTGACATAAATAGTGGTTGAACAGTATGTGGTGTGTGTGTATGCATAAGCCCTGTGAATAATCCCAGCATCCTCGGCGGCGGGTCTCTGTGGTGTTGATCAGATGACGGGTGCTGATCTGTCATTGGTGACTGTGGGCCGAAGTTTGACAGTAGCGAATGGATTCCCTCCCCTACAGACACAACATACTGTTACTCCAGCTGCTTGTATGCAGAGACTGCTTATACTTGCGGACCAAACTTTAAGAAAAATTACAATAACTTGTAAATGAATTAACAAAACATACACAAATTGTTAGCATGTCACTTATTAATCGCTTATGAATGTTTTGTGAATGATTAGTTCATCATTAACTAATCACTTATAAATGACTTGGAACTGAACGTTATTATAAAGTGTTACCCAATAAATCTGTATGAATTAGTGCTGTCAAACGATTAATCGCATCCAAAATAAAAGGTTTTGTTTACGTAATATATGAGTGTGTACTGTGTATGTTTATGTATATATAAATACAAACACATACATGCATATATTTAAGAAAAATGTTGTTTATATATTAAATATTTTTGTTTAATATAAAAAAATAATATAAATGTATATACATGTAAATATTTTCAAAATATATACTGTGTGTGTGTGTATTTATATATACATAATAAAGATACACAATACACACACATATATTATGTAAACAAAAACTTTTATTTTGGATGCGATTAATCGTTTGACCGCACTAGTATGAAACAATATTTTTTCCCGGTTAACAAACCCACCCCAACTATTACTTTGAGCCCACAACTTGAGTATAATGAAAACATCTTTTCAGTATATAATGGTAAGAAAAATAAATAAAATACAATAAAATAAATAAATAAACCCATCTTATAACACATCATAATTTCTCTTTTACTTAGAAACGGTTCCCACACATTATTGTTACTGCCCTATTTCCAAATAGGTTAGGTGTTTGGAATATTTGTATAAACAGACTGACAAACTAAACCTATAAGTCTTTTTTTTTTCAAATGCAGACAATCTGATATCCATTCCTGAAAGGAGAGGGCCTCCTCTGACTTCCAGCTTCAGAGAATTATCTGTCTGTCAATCATTAAACTAGTTTGGACCCAATATTTTATGTTTGTCTCTCATTTCGTTGTCTGTCCACCTGCCTAATACAAAGAATCTAGGACATAGTAAAACAAAAATCTCTTAAAACCATGCAGATGTGTTCATGAACTTTTCCAGAAATCTTGCATTTTTGTACAAAACCATCACCATCCTCAACCTTACTTCTCCAGCAATATGGACTTATGGCCAGCAATATATCTTTTAATCCAAGCCCTTTTTAATTTTAATATACTTTAAAATATAATGTATTTCTGTGATGCAAAGCTGAATTTTCAGTATCATTACAGTCTTCATGATGCTGAAAATTCAGCTTTGCATCACATAAATAAATTACACTTTAAAGTATCTTAAAATAGAAAATCATTATTTTAAATTGTAATAATATTTCACATTATTACCTTTTTTCTGTATTTTTGTTCAAAATAAATGAAGCCTTCATGAGCATAAGAGACTTGTTTAAAAAAAACAAAACATTAAAAATCTGCAGTATATACAGTATATATATGTCATTTTACTAGTTGATGAGTCACATTACATGAAGCACTGAAGACAGACAACAAACATGATCCATTAATACTCACCCTAGGATAGGATGCTTTGGCAGCCCGTTTGACTGAGGCACCACCTACACGAAACAAAGAGCAGGACACGTCACATCTACAGAGCAGACAGCAGGAACCATAGCACTGTGTTCAGTGGGTAAAAGCCCAAAATAAAACACACTCATACTAGCAGTACTGCACAGCTTACACTGTATACTATACCCTAAAAGAGTGCAACAACAACATCAACAAATAGTAATATACTCCCTTGTTGTTACTTGACCCTAATGTTGCATGCTTAATCCAGCAGCAAGTGGAATCAATTTTTTTGTTTTTCAGAAAAAAAAGCTAATTTTGATTATTAATCCAATTTTGTGCACAAATGTTATAACGTTTAGAAGAAAAATGAAGATGGAATCATGATTCATTGCTTCTGGTTCCATGTAGGTATGCCATGCACATTCCTACATCCAGCAGTCACACAGGTCTGATGTCTAACAGGAAGACAGTCGATCACACGGAAGAGTCGATTCACTGACGGTCTGGAATCTAGTCCTGCTAGAAACGCGAGTCGAGTTAACCATGTTAAAAACGCATGATATGGTATAAATGCAGACATGATCTGATTACGCTTATCAGGTAAGAGTGTCTGCTACAAACACTGAGTCTTTCATATATGCTGTCTAGGATTTTGCGTGCAAACTCATATCTCAGTCACTGTCATGTGCATATGCAAAACATGCATAAGAGGTATTATTAAGAAGCAAAACCATACTTAAAATATCACGCATGCAAATTTAAAAGCATATATTAAAACACACTGCTATGTGTTTCTGGGTGCTTGTTTACTGACTCATGTCAAGAGTCCACCCACAAGTCTTTATGATATGCTGGCCTCAAGATATGACTTCAGTACAGGGCTGCATGATTAGTCAGAATAAAAACAGAAATCGTGATATGGCTTGGTGCGATTACAAAACCACAGAGGCTGTGATTTATTAAATAGATACATGCGCTTCAAAAAGAAGCACACTTCTTTTACATGTGAGCAGCTCGTGATCCAGTGTTTTTAGTGTCTCTACAGGTGCTCTGATTTTGGGAAAAGCAACATGCATCAACCATCATCCCAAACTTGCAAGGAGGAGCGCTTATAAACCGGCTGTTGTAACATTATAAAATTATATACAATTTTATTATATATAAAATTTCATTTTTTCTGATTAAAAAGTTTTTAAAAACATTTTAAAGCTCCAAATCCACTTGTTAATGACTAAATGTATATATATATATATGACTATATACTAATATATAAATAATATATATATATATATATTATTTTTTTCTCTTCCTGAAATCATGCAGTCCTACTTCAGTCTCTCTTTTGATACAAGTCTGTATGATGTTTTCCTCTTTTTATCGTTGCCCAGTTGAAAATAGTCTCTAACAAGCCACACAGTTTAAGGTATTGCCCATGTGCGTAGCACAAACAGAGCAATATGAAGGTTAGTGGTTAGCTAAAATCATAACCTTAATTATGAGCAACAGTAACAGCAATACTTGTCTACAATTCATAACAATGAGTGCAGGACTGAGATCTGAGCACTGAGCTGGTCTCTCCACTAGAGGGCAGCTGTGTACTGCAGTAAATGTACACAGGAAAGAGACGCTTCTTGATTCAGTTAGTGGGAATCTCTGCATCATAATGGTCCACTGCTGTAGTCCAGCTGTGCATATTCACTCCAGACACCAGCAAGATCTTGTCTGTGACATCAACATGGCCGTTTATCATATCTATCTGGTTAGACCTGCCATTTCGTGTGGCCTGAAAGCCAGTTTCCCCAACCTAAATATCGATCTTATCCATCACGTGTAACGTACAGTAAGACTAGTCAGAGTGTTCAGATGTTTCATTCATAGTGTCACTATTTGCATTCTTTTGAGATTCACATCTACTGTCAAGTCTTGTATCAGATTCTGCTGTTTTCTTTTTCTCTCTCATGCAAACAGAAAACAAGGTAGGGCGCATTTTTCACACAATGCCTTCACCTGTGAGCGTTCAAGACCCGTCCTACCCCACCCTGACTGATAAAACACATTGTCTGTGGAAAAACACAGCCTCCGCTTCTCTTGAACAGGACAATCTCCTTTCCTGCTTGACATCTTCTAATACAAGAGTGTCCGCATTTACCCCGGCTTTCCAGGGCGGAGAGATGAGCTTCGCTTGAGTAATTGCATGGCACATGTCCCTCGTTCGCCACAGGGATGAGCCAACCCTCGGCAGGGAGGACAGGTGCCGAACAACAGGGCTTCACACCTACAGATCTGGCTCCTGTACTTCTATTGTGTGCACAATATAAGGAGGTGAGCTTTCGCTTCCGGCGGGGTAAATGAATGGGTGGATTTGCAAGCAGGTTTTAGGTTGAAGTCCGTGTGGAATTCCATCGGAAAGGTCGAGCCGTGGCCTGGATGTGCGTGTGTGACGGGAGGCGGGGGCTCGGCGGAGGAGCGATGAATATTTCACCGCGTCCAGAGAGAGGAGTATCCAGTTTCACAGTCTGGCCATTGACACCCGCAGCCCACAAACATCACCAATCAGGACTCCCTCCAAACATATGCAGGTGGCTCTTTCAGAGGCATTAGACCTCATCAACTTAAAAGGAGCGTTACGTAACGCGCTGCTCTGTGAAATCGCTCAACAGGCCCAACAGTTGTGGGAATAAGCAAAATCCCATCATTTACATGCATGTGTCACTGCCCACAGTTCTGCCACATGTGTTTGCATGCATGCAAATAAAACTGGCTACGATGTTTTTGGATATATTGTCATGTTATAAATACCATTCAATCTAAAGCCTCCTTTTTAACATCTCTGACGTTCACATACGATTGTTGCATTCCACACCTAGCGAGATTAAAGGTGCAGCATGTAATGTTGACAGCTAGTGGTTGAAATGGGTACTGCAGTCCAAATTCCAAAATATTGGAGAGAATGTTTCTCCTGTCCCCTCCTACTCAGGCTAGACACATACGGGTTGCCAGACTGAGGACACGCAACCTGAGGTATTGAAATATTTTTGGGCGCAATCACAGACCAGAACAAAAACAGACATTCCGACAAGGAACACATTTTTAAGTAGAGTAACTTGCATAGCATTGTGTTTTTTGGAGAAACAAGTATGTGAACTTGTTTCCTAAATATATATGAGCATGTTTTTTAAATATCTGCAAACAAACATATGTTCTTCCCCCGACTAAAGATTTTTCTAGTTGACTAGTAGTCGTTCATTTAAAGGGATAGTTCACCCAAAAATGAACATTCTGTCATTAATTACTCACCCTCATGTCGTTCCAAACCCGTAAGAACTTTGTTCATCTTCGGAACACAAATTAAGATATTTTTGATGCATTCTGAGAGCTCTCTGATCCTCCACAGACAGCAACGCAACTGACACATTCAAGGTCCAGAAAGGTAGTAAGAACATCATTAAAATAGTCCATGTGACATCAGTGGTTCAACCTTAATTTTATGAAGCTACGAGAATACTTTGTGCGCAAAAAACAAAACAAAAATGACTTTATTCAACATACAAAGACATCAATGTTTTATGAATAGCGTTTGTTATGTATGTGCAATGCCGACATCTTACGTCATCCTCCTGGAGCTGCTTCTGTGTACAATTGTTGGCGCAAGCTAGATTAAAGTGATTACGTTTTGAATATGGATATTTTTCTTACAAAAACGCATCGATTCGCTACAGGAGGCCTTTGTTCACCCCCCACAGCCGTGTGAGGCACTTTTTATTATGGATGGATGCGCTTTATTTCACTTCTTTTGGACTGATGCACTGCAACACCCGCTGACTGCCATTAACCCTTTCGCACGTGAGTTTAAAATATTCTAGCTGAGCCCCCAGCGTGAGTTTTTTTTAGGCGACCGTTATTTTAAAATGTAGCGCCTTATTGTTTCCATGGCGACGCGTCATGCTTGTCATGTGACACAACGCAACCACAATAGATCTGTGTGACACATGGATCGCTTTTATTTTGTTTTTCCTGTTTTATTCAAAATATTCACAAACATGCTCACTATATTATGAAATATCTGATATTCCGATTCTGAAATATGTGCAATTAAATCTGTTTGGTAGTTTAAACACTTTTATATCGACCGTGTTAGTTTATCTATAATGGTGATGGGCGCCGCCATGTTAGTTCGCGCTGAATCCGAGCTGTGGGATTTACAACACGCAAATTCATCCTCTCCTACCGAAACATGTTAAAGTAGGTCTCCGGTAAACTGGGAGAAGAGCAGAGTATACTTTATAGTTACCTACACAATCTGTATATGATATCAATAAAAACGTCGTCCGATTATATTTTTAAGGATTATTATTGCCGTTTCCATAAACATCAGCGTGCATTTTACAAACTGTAAATGTATGGTTTTGCTAGTACTTATGTGTATTTAAATGTCTGAAACCTAAAATAAGTATTATATGGTTGAAAACACTGAATATTTGTGATAATATGACAAGCGCTCAGCGCGTCTGATCTGGCTCTGCGCCAGGCAAAGCGTGAAAGCGGATTTAAATTCAGCGGTTGATGACGTGACACACTGAAAGTTCTAATCACACCGGTGTGATCGTACGCTTCAGGGACCATCCAAGACTGATCACACTGGTGTGATCGTACGCGTCAAAGGGTTAAACAGCTTGGAAGATCAAAGACAATTTTTAATATTACTCCGATTGGATTCATCTGAAAGAAGGAAATCATATACGCCTACGATGGCTTGAGGGTGAGTAAATAATGGACTAATTTTCATTTTTGGGTGAACTATCCCTTTAATGCGTGTGCTCGAGTGTGGAAGAGGCTATATCTTAAAGGGCTTGTTATGGTAATAATGGTAACAATATATATTTAATTATGCTTTAGTACAAAAAAAATTACAGCACTGAGTTCAGCTGATGTCCGGTCACATATCACAGGTCTCCAGGTGTACATATCAGCTGTTTAACCACAGATTCAAAATGTGTCCAGTCATTTTATCATGCTGTTTTGGGTCTTGGGTTTTTAAGCATTAACACTTCAAGTGTTTCATAATGTGAAGCTGGTTTTGCTCATATGTCAGACGTATCATTTATTTGTTATGAATAATCTTATTTTTGGGTTTGCAGCATTTAAGTTAGAAAAAAGATAAAAGTCTTTTTCATTAATTTATTTATTACTTTAATTATTGATGTATATATTACATAACCATGTAGATGTTACTACATTCTTATGTAATATATACATTTGGGGGTTGAATTTTATGCAAAAATATGGGAATTACATTACTCATACCGTTTTAACTCCCACTCCTTTTACAATATATAATATGATCTGTAACCAAGTCTCATGATGTTGAATATAGCATAGCGTACACTAAAAAGTGAATACTTTTTCGTTTTTATTCTTGGCAAAAAGCAAACGCGCTAAAATAAACAGTGAGATGTGGTGGGCTTGAAAGGGTAGCTTTTGTTTATTTTTTGCTGTCACTGAGGCGACACTCTTCTGAGAGAGCAGTTTGGATTTAGCATTGCTCCACCGGCAATCCTCTTTAAAGTGATCCCGATCCTTTGATCCACTCAGACGTGAGGACTGCAACTGCATGCACGTCATGACATGGCCTAGACACTCTGACACCTGTACCTGAGAGAACTTCACATGAGCTTCTATTATTCCTAAACTAAATTCAATAAATACATCCCAATTTATGCCAAATAGCATTTAGAGCTTAAATAGACTTTTACTTTTTCTGACAGTGATGCTTGCCAATGGAAAAATTACCACTGTGATGTCAAGGTGTTGCTAAACATTTGCTATGGTATTCTGGAAGACTATTTACACCTCTATGATACAGTTCAATGAATGTAAATGGGACATTTTTGGCCTATTTTTCGCCTGTGAGGTGACAATCAAACACAGATCAACCATAATCTGTCTTAATCTGGAACCCAGCATGAAGAGAAGGCAACGCAAGCAGCATTCAGGTAGGTTACAGTGGTAGATGAGAAAGAAGATGAAGAAGACTGACCGGGTTTTCATATGTGGAGGTGTACGTCTGCATCAGACTCTTGGTGGAGTTTCTCCTGACGGGCGAAACGTTGTAGTCCGCTGGAGGCAGAGCCATCATGTTGTCCTCTGGGTCCTTCTGCATGAGGTTGACCACGCTCTTACTGCGCATCGGAGGATTTCCAGCAGTACTATAATACAATCACAACACCTTTCAGCAGAAGAAACCTTTTAGACTGCATTTTAACATGTTTACTAACCAACTACTCTGACAAATAAGGAACACATAGTTCAATGCTATAAGCTCTGGTTGGTATCAAAGGAAATCTCCTCAACCATGTCATGGTTCATACACTCTTAAAAATAAACGCTCCAGAAGGGTGTTTTGCAGTGATGCCATAGAAAAAACATTTTTGGTTCCCCAAAAATCCTTTCAGTGAACAGTTCCTAAAAGAACCATTTTGAAGGACATTTAAAAAATCTAAAGAACCTTTTTCAACTATAAATAACCTTTTCTGCATTTGAAAAGTTCCATGGATGTTCAAGGTTCTTCATAGAACCATTAATGCCAATAAATAACCTTTATTTTTAAGAGTGTAGTTCAAATATATTATTAACATTTACTGACATATCACTTGAGAATTATTTATATAAAAAGTATAATTAAACTTTATTTGGAGTACTACTTGAGCACAATAGACATTTCTTAATATTAAGCCTAAAATGTGTTTTAATGTCCCTATTGACAAGGATTGTATGATGTTTGAATAATATCAGTCTTTAAATGCAAGATATTATATTATAGTATACTTGCAATAGTTCCACTTTAGCACAATCAAATATACTTCACTATATCTTTAGTTGGACTTCAGCACTACTTCTGCACAATTAAAGTGCATTAACTAAAAAATTAGTTGTTCCGATTTAGCAGACTTTAAATATACCAGTTTAGTATACTCAAAGTACAATTGCAATGTATTTTTATTAAGTACATAAATATGTAAATGTATTTGTAGTATACTTAGCATGAAATAAATTATGTCAAATGCATTTTAGTATATTTATTTTTCCACTAGGGCAGATTGTATTTTCTTTTAATTTTACTGAATTTATAATGTCTAGAAATTTTGATGACTAATCCATTTCATTTATTTCCATGACTTGTCCAGATCTGGAAAAACTACACGTGGTACAAAGTTAATCAACGAGCTAGCACACCATGTTAGATAGCATGCATAATCAGCAAACTGCATTTGGTGCTCTCACTGTTAGCTGCAACACAAAAGGTTTTTTGATCAGGCATTACAGGAACCCCTCAGGGTCCAAGAGGATAGGATTTCATTTGACATCAGAAAGCATTAAGTCTTGTGCTCTTCAAGCAAACATTAGCAGAGTTAGGTGCATGATCTGACCTCACACACTTTGAATAACACCAGTGGGAAAGAGCACAAGGGATTAGAAGTCTCATGAAGCATGCCTGGGTCAATCTGGGTAAAGTCTATTTCTAATGTTTCACTCTCTGCAGAGAGTGTGCAAAATCTGCAGCTCTAAATAAATCACATTTAATCAATCAACCATTAAAGCTGAAGTGTCATTTTATCAATGATGATTTCCCTAAAAACTGTAACACTGTGATGCCATGTAAACATCGCATCGTTTGTTTAAGCACGGCAAAGCAACATTGCATTGACTCGACCAATGGGTGAGTTTGGGGCGGGACAAACGGTTTGTCCAACCAATAGCAGTCGTGAGGTGTGTTCAGGAAACCAGTTTGAAAACAACTGCTTCTGGCAATGCTAAATGGCACACCGTCAAACTTATTTTACCCATGCAATACAGAAAAAACTAATATCTGAGAATGTGGTTTTTGAGATAAATTATGTAATAGTTTTAAAATAGGGCTTGACTGCTGTGAAGCTTATGTTTCCTTCTCTTCAGCGGCACAGCCATCAGTATCAGAGCTAATCAGGACAACAAAGAGACAACAAAGAACCGTGTTAGTGTGTGTGTGGTATCTGATTACCTGTTATTTACTGCTAGCTCTGTGTATGCGCGACAGTAAGATGATGGAAACCAGCCTCGCCTGTAAAAACACACACAGACAGACAACACAAGTCAGTTAGAGCGGATGCTTTTATCTGGCCCTGGAAAAATGACTCCTATAATGTCTGCTCAGTGTTTACTGAACACAGTCTGGGATTGTGGGACATAAAACACTGAGAGAAGCCTTTTGAAAGCCATCTGAACATGGAGAGTTGCACTGCGTTCTCAGAAAGGAAATGCAAGCAGAGGGCCGTCATCTGAATATGCAGCGGTGTGAGGTAGCGGATGACATCAAATGCACACAGGATGGCCGGTCATTACTTCAAGCACAATGGCAGTGTTTGTCTTGGTGTGGCCATTTTTTCTCAGGACTTTATATTCTTGTAATCCAAGGGAATGTGAATATTGATGGAAAACTCAGTTTCTATAACTGCCTCCACCCCTGAAAGGCACGGGGAAAGACAAATAACATCTTGCATGGAGTTTTATGTAGACTCTGAATGTGGCGGCACTACTCTCTGATCAAGTGTACCAGCAGAGACTGGACGATGATAACCCTGTAAAGTCTGACATTTATAAAATATGTAAAAGGTTGTGTACGTATGTATCAAAGTTGATATATCAGGCTTGTATGGTTCATATAGTAAGCTATGGGAGAATATGGAGCTCAAAACAAAGAGGAAAAAAAAAACATCAACTTCATTCAGATGCCCAAATTGAGCAAAAATACTGTATGCAATTTGGTGCAGTTACTGATGTTTGCATGGCCAAAAAGTAAGACAAAATTGTTATATAAATCAGTATAAAAACTATCTGATATATATAGCTCCCAATAATGTCTTAGTAAGATGATATTTAAATTAGTGCTATCCATCCTTTTAAAAAAAATTACTAATCACACATTTTTTTCTGAAATTAATTGTGATTAATTCCATCTAACCTAATTTTAAATATACTTTTATATTGCAATAATTTCACATTCAATCTTCAAATTTATGTAGAAACAACAAAGACAGTATATTCTTAATATTTGTTTAATGGCATCTTTTTTTATAAATGAAGGCCAGTATCACTGACATACTACTGATGTCTCTAAGAAGTTGTTTTTCTTCTTCTAGTATTTAACCATTGACTATAGTCATTCAACATTACAGTATAATTGAGAGCTATCAATATGAACATTTATTAGACTTTAAAAAATAACAACTAATCTAAGGGAACTTAAAACTGAAAATAGTCACATAAACCCATTATAATAAATGTCATATTTAGCTGCCCTTCAGCAAGTAAGAAATATACAGAAATTGAATAAAGTTATTAAACACTAAATTCTAAATTAAATGCTATTACTTTAAGAGCTGCCGCTGCTGAACGTGACGCGGATCTGACAGGCATGCTCGTAGTTTCATTCGCGCTTTAATATGAAATGATACGGGCTACAGCACGCGCTGCCATATTTGTGCGTGCAATTGAAGAGCACGAGTTACGAGCACAGTATAACGGCTGACAGGACAGGAAAGTTTCTCTGACATACGGCCTGACAACATCTCATGTGAGCGTAGTTCACTGTTATTCTACTGAAGCTCCTCGTCACCTGTACCATTTTCCACGCTCGTTTGACTCGAGACTGGTGCTGAGGCAAAGCGGTGTGCGCGTCAAACTTCTCCCGTTTGATGTGGTCATAAAGACGTTCTGTGCATCTAAATAAACGCAATTTTTGTCAAGAAAAAAAGAGACAGAAGCAACAGTTGTGAGTGGGGTGGCCAACCCTAGCCCCGCCCCCACGTTAAATATGTTTAACGGCGTTAAACTGGAAAAATTAATCGCATAAAAAAAAAAATTTAAAGCGCTAATTTTGACAGCACTAATTTAAATGCTTAGTCTTTTTTTATCAAAGTTCAATGAAAAGCAATGCAATACAATGACTGAGAGATGAACATATAAATGTTCCTCAAAAGCCTGATGGATCGTATTTGACCGATTTTAACAACTTTAAAAAAAAATATGGAAGTTGTTTTAGTCCAGTAAATGTTCATCTTGAGAAAATTAATCATGTTGATAAATTAAGAGGCTTTATAAATGTGCATATTAAGTATGATACAGTAGGCTTTATAGGGTTAATGCTTCAAGGTTTCTCTTAAAATAAACAAAAAAATGGTTTCACTGCATGTCATCAACTTTTAAGACTAAAAAGAACTTTGTATTTTCTACTTGTCTGCATAAAATCATACGTGCCGATTCTTTAAAGAACCTAGGAACTACAGGTGCATCTCAATAAATTAGAATGTCGTGGAAAAGTTCATTTATTTCAGTAATTGGTCTAAAGATCATATATTGTAACTTCAAAAACTTGTTTTCCCTCAAAGAACTCTATAGTCAAGACTTGAACCCCATGCAGCAAAGAACCATGAGGAACCTTCATTTTAGGGAGGAAAAAAGACTAGTCAGTGGAATGTCTAAATGTCTGAACAACCTCCTGAACTCTGTATATTTAGGCTCCATCCAGTGTGTTTCTTAGTCATGTATGAGACACTAAATGCCACCCTTCAATAGCACATCTGAAGAAACAGGCTAAATAACCTACAGATTATACAAGATCAAGGGAATGTCATTCACAGCAGGGGATTTCAAGTCTGTCAGTAATCGCTGTAAAGTTTATGGTTGTTTAACGCTGTAGCGGTGAGGCTTTGAAGACCCCATGAAATCAAGTGGAGTTTGTGGCTTTTAGTCCACATCTGTTAGCTTTAAGGTTATGTATTTACATTCTAGTATCCTTCGAAATGATGACCATGTTGAAATCTTTCTCTTCTAGGACAGCAGAGCAAACTTTTCATATTGCTTTCAATGTAGACAGACACTGCAAATCTCAGGCCAAATCCCTTCACTTCTGCCCTCGTGTTCATGCTCCATGTGAAGAAATGTTAATATTTGTCTTTCTGTGCTTGGGTGTGCTTTTCAGTGTACTTTAAATCAACAGAACAGAGGAGCCACGGTACAGTGACCGTGATCTGTAGACACAGGCTGGAAAGTTTCACCAGAGATTTTAAGCTCATTTCCTGCTTGGCATTCAAGAACATGAGAGGACATTTTAATTGACCTCGCAAATGTATTATTAATAACAACCGTCAATCAGGCTGAAGTTCTCTTTAAATAGAAGCACTCAGTCTGTCTGAACAGGTCGTCGTAGTGTTTTAAAATGCCTCGTTTAGCAAATGGCGCTTGCGTGTAATTTGGCACATATTAATGGGTTGCTAGGTGACAAGTCTGACTCGTTCCCTATAGGGTTCAGGCAAGTTTGATGTCGTTTTTAAAGCAGAACACCACCAACACACATAAACAACTGAGTGAGTCAAACTACAGATTACCCAAAAAATGCAAAGGGTGAGAAAATGACACAATGTTCATTTTTGGGTGAATTATTCCTTTAAAGATCAATTCTAAGAATCAACTGACTATAATAACACACAAAGTTCCCCCAGTTATCGGACAATAATTAGGGCCCTGTGATTTCCTTGATATGGAAAACACGAACAGAGTCACGGAATCCAGTCATAGAAATGGAATTTACTGTATAATGCGGAATGTCATGGAGTAATTTTGGATGAATAAATGTAAAAGTAGGTCAGTACAGTTAAATCAAAACGCGATATGGACTAGTAGTGTCTGTGAATATTATGCTGTATAATACTATTTAAATACGAATCCTGCATGTTGTGCGAGTCTCTGTGTGAATGAATGGTGCAGACTCGCGGTTTCGTTTACTACACAAATACAGACGCATGCGACGCTTGCGGTGTTTTCAGACTCTGCCGCCTCAATCTATGAGTACATGAACATAATCTCTAGAACTGCCCTGAGAGTCACTTCATGAGGATTTTACTGTTTTTTTTTTTTTTTTAAGAAAAAAAAACTATCGTCATATCATATAAACAGAAACCTAAAGGTCTTTAAAGCAACCCGTCAAAATAAAAGTTCATTATAACTTGAAGAAACTGTGACAGAAATATATTACTTAATGTAATGATAGTACTACTACTACTAATAAAAATATTTTAACCAGAAATATTTACCAGAAAATTGTAAATACACAACACGATTTCTGAACAGTTAATTTTTTTTTTTTTTAAATAATGGAAAACAGAATTTGGTAAAAATAAAACTGGATTTGAGAAAAAAATAAATGCGATTTCATAGAGGCTTAAAAATGTAACTTTTGTTAAACTTAATAAACCGCTGTTGAATTGTGCAAGTTTCATGATTTCAATTAATTAGACATGCTTTTTGATTAAGAAATTTTTAATTGAACCGTTAAAACAAAGTCTAGAAAATAAAAGAAGAAAAAAAAAAAAGAATCCTGAAAAATTTAAATGGAAAAAAAAAAATATATTATTCAGATTTTGGAAAAACGGAATTTGGGAAAAAAATAAACAAAATACTGGCTGTGAATTGGTCACATCTCACACATCCAAAGCAGCACCCAATGCATTCGGTCGTATTGCAGAGATACACGAGGGAATTCACTGGAAAGCAAAGGAAAATTACCCAAGTTTGAATTGTAATTTCACTACTTGTCTTCATCCTGAAAGTTTATTAGCTCTATTCCAACTTCTGACTTGACTTCTGTGGCAAAGATATTGACGGCTCTAAATGCATTCAGAGCACACCCTGTCTGTTTTGCCATCTGGTAGCATTCTCTCAAACCAACATCATCAGTTTTTGGCAGGAACGCTGGCGTTCAGACCATTTTCTCTGCCATAACTGTTATTCTGATTACGTCTCCTCCACCTGCTGAAAGTCCTCAGGTCCTTGGGGGGGATTGTGTTCTGCATCTCAGATAAGCTGCCGCCCCGTCTGCTCTCTCTCGAAACAGGGCTTCATGTGGCTTTGACTGACACCACAATGAACTGGGTTTTTCTTCATCACAGCTGGTTTGCAGACTGGCACCAGCAGCTGTGCACACTAGGGGTTGCAGACTAATCGACTAGTCGACTTTAATGCTCTGCCATGACGCTTTAAGCTTGATGTCGACTAGTCGCTGATCCTATAGAGGGCGCAACAGGATAAGAAATCTTTCAAGGAATTCCACATTTACGCTCCGTTTCCAAACAGTTCAAATGACAAATAAATGCATACTCTGAAAGCGCTCCACAAGACATGTGTGATTATATTACTGGATGCTCGAAATTTAACGGGAGAATGCACGTTTTAAACAGCTTATTGTACAGGTAAGTTAATCGCCATTCTAATCACACACACATAGGCTACAGACAGTAGCGCGTACATCACACGCACAGAATCATTCAGCGCGGAAATGTATTGTCAACACTGTTCTGTGATTTTTCAATAAAATAGCTTAGAAACTGAAAAGTTCAAGCATATATTTCTTAATAACTAGTAAATTCCACAGCTTCACTACTAGTAGAGAGACGCTGCCAGGTAGAATTAATTCACACACGCAATCGCTGTCTCACTAATGCATTCATATTAATGTAATCTTTACTGTGCTACTTTATCTGTATCTGATTTAGAACGAGCAGAAATCTATGAGAAATATAACGACCCAAAGACAAAAGAACTGATAAAAAAGCTGTTATAGGAGCAACAGCCATGTGGGCAGCGCTGTCTTATGCCATAGCTGTGCACAAGGTGTTTGTCACAGCCCCAGACTTATTTGTTCATTAATGACGTCATCAGCGACTAGTCGACTTCGACTCGACTTTCATCACATAAAAGTCGACTTCAAAAAATCAGAAGTCGTTCAACACCTAGTGCACACATAATGTCTCTCCACATCCTGAGCCACTTTGGTACATCTGAGATGGACTGACTCATTAGCCAAACAACTTCACCTGGACAACGTTCTTAAAAACGTTGGGGTGTTTTTAATTACATTTTTGGTAATCCAAAAATTATCAAGTTTTGGTTGCAAAGCCAAATTATTATTACTATTGTCATTATCAACTTTAAGCTATAGACATGTCTCCATGAACCAGCTCTAGTGTGAAAAGCTCATATAAATGAGACACGTTGACAAGCTCCACTCACTGTTTGTTTTTCTGCAGCTCTCCGTAAAGCCAGCCATCCTTCTCGTCAGGAATCAGCAGTGAGATAATGTCTCCTTCTTCAAAACTCAGCAACGTGTTGTTGTTTCCAGACTTGTGCGGGAAAATGGTGCGCACTTTGGGTCTTCTGTCTATGTGATTGAGGCCAGTGGCCATCGACACAGACCTAGACAATCCGCTGTCCTCGTTGTTGTAGTCTGGAGGAGAAAAGACAGACAACACGTCTCCCAAGGTCCTCAAAGCTTAATTTTTAATGATAAACATGCTGCAAATTTGACAAAACAAAAAAAGCAGGGAATTAAAAATAGTTTGATATGTTTTTAATACTTGCAATGTGACATATTTCAAAGTGAAACAGGATATTCAACAAGAACAAAATATTAATCAGGAACTGACTGAACTGCAAAACATTCAGCATATCAACGCAAAAAAAACAAAAAACAACAACAGTGCTGTTATTGTTAACTAAAACTATATATATATATATATGATATATGTAATTGAAATAAAGCTTAAATAAATAAAATATATTACATGAAATACTTAAATGCAAAGTAAATAAAAAAATATTGCCTTGGCAACTAACTGAAATAAGTTATTAAAATTAATTCACGTGCAAATCAGTAAAATCATGTAGCGTGATTTTTGCAAAATGGGACGTGCTTGATTTATAGAAGTATATTTATTCATGTTTTTAAAAGCGTGAAAGAGAACTTGCGCTGCTCCTCAGGAAGATATATGCGCTCAGAGACAGAACAGAACACGGACATGTAAAGTCATCTTTTAGCTCAAGGTGCGCGCCTAAACGGTCAAATACACGCAAAAATGTGTCAAAATGCGCTTAGTGATTATTCATGTATTCATCTTCGTATATAACGAGGTGAGACTGGTAGAATAAATCCACATAATATTTAAGTCCTACCAGACTCTCTCTCCTCTCTCCTGGAGGTCTCCTGATTGAACATGTTGGCCAGGGGACTCGTCTGAGGCGGTGCTGGAGGTGCTGGAATCATAGCGTCTGAGTTGGCCTGTGCAAGTAAAGAAAAAACGCAGGTAAGCATTCCTGAACACAACAGGCTCTATGGACTCATCGTGTAGTGTAGGAGCTGGTGTCCTCACTCTGTTGAGGCGCTGGAGGGCTGGAGACGCCTGGGGAGTGTTGGACACTGGAGTGCGTAGACCTTCAATCATGGACATTACACTATCGGGGACATTGGTAGCGTCACCGCATTTGTCCTGCCAGGTGGACAAGTTCTCCGTCAGAAGTTCTCGAGCCTTCAAGAACACAAGAAAGTATTAGACGCAGGAGTTTAACTGTTGAGAGAGCTATAATCATGAAGGTCTCCTTCTCTTGTGATGAAATAGCAAACAGTGTGGATTTCTGCTCACCCACTGAAGTAACAAACCTTGTCATGGAAATTAGAGATCTGGTAGGAGAAGGTGCAGTGCTTGTCCACCAGGAAGCAGAAGCGCCTCTTCTCCTCCAGCAGAGCCTCCCGGCAGCCGTCAGCCATGAACTTCTGCATGTCCATCTGGCGGTGAGTGAGAGTCTCAAGACACTGCAGAGAAAAGATAAGAAGATTGTTTACACATACACACTACACACATACTGAAGCACAAGCAACACTCGCAGTGTTTTCAGACTCTGCCGCCTCAATATACGAGTACATGAACACATAGATATAATCTCTAGAACTGCCCTGAGACTCACTTCATGATAATTTTACCGTTTCTTTTGGAGAAAAAAAAAAAAACCCGGTTCGGTTTAACTTGAAGAAACTGACAAATATTACTTAATGTAATGATAGTACTACTACTACTAATAAAAATATTATTAAAACGTTATTTTTAAAAGGAATATTTATCAGAAAAATTTAAATACTAGTGCTGTCAATCTAGTGCGATTAATCGCATCCAAAATAAAAGTTTTTGTTTACATAATATGTCTGTGTGTGCTGTAGTGTTGTCAAAAGACCCGGTATTTCGGTACCGAATACTGAAATTTTGGTACCGTGACAACACTAGTGTGCTGTGTATATTTATTAAGTATATATAAATAGACACACATGTATATATTTCAGAAAAATATGTTGTTTATATATTAAATATATATATAATATAAATTATATGAATATAAATATATACGTGTAAATTCATGTAAATATTTTCAAAATATATACTGTATGTCTGTATATTTATTTATATATACATAATAAATATACACAGCACACACACATATATTAATCGCGATGAATCATTTGACAGCACTAGTAAATACACAAGACTTTATTTCTGGGAAAAAAAATAAAATATATTTTTGTAAATAAAATCAATTAATTAGATTGAAAAAAATAAATAAATCGATTAATTAACATTTAATGAAACCATTAATGGAAAACAGAAATTGGTAAAAATTAGGGATGCATCGATACCGGTATCGGGCCCGATACTGAGCTCCTGTACTCGTACTCGTTAAAATGCCCCGATACCAAACGCCGATACCACACAGCATGTGTTAAGTGCCATATTCAGACAATGAAACATCGACAACAGAACAACAGACAGCAGAATGAAGTTATTAGAGATTAAGGATGTCTACGAAGTATATGTATAATGAATATAATGTTAAACATTCAGTATTGACTGTATAGCTGATGTGCGCTAGCTGATAAGCAAAGCACACTGAGTGGATTGCGCGCGCGGCGGTGCAGATGCGCGAGCTTGTCGAGTGAATATCCCTATCTCACAGACATCATTGGAAAGTTTGTAGTTCGGTCGGATACATCAAAAACAAGTAAGTAAAACAATGCACAAGTGACTTAACGGTATGGAGAGAGAGAGAGAGCGAGAGAGAGAGAGAGTCACTTAGCACACGCATCATTTAGATTAAAACTAAATCGTAAAAATAAGACCATTTATAGGGGCATCCATTATAAACAATTTATTTTTAACCTTAGGCATACACGATTTTCTGGCAAAAGTGAATCTAGCAGCTTGTGTGAAATGCGCTTGGCTGTACTATTCTGCATCAGTACAAATACGTGCCCGCGTTGCGCGTGTTTTGCTTGCTTGAGTGTTTCTGCATTATATGAGTGGCTTTGAAATATAAATCGCAGCACGTTTCAGATAAAAAAAAAGTGACTTCTATTTCTGAAAATATCACAGTTAGGAGATGTATAACGAGTGGTTCCCTGCATTATTACAGCAAAGCGCGTGATTACAGTACTAAG